TGCCTCGTTGATCACGGGATCCGAGTCCGTGAGCACAGTTACAGATCTTATTCTCACATTCAGGCCCTCCAGTCTTCTTTCCCACAGGGTAACTGTTCGGTACGAGCAGCGCGTTTTGAAACCAGCGTCATCCACCTTCCACATATCTAAAGTAAGTTCTCTGCCTCAATTTCCCCACCGACATCAGCTGTAGAAGGGGCGAGCTCAACCTTCTTCACGTCACGTTGATCCCAAATGATAGAACGCATTTGAAATATCAAGGTTATTGAACTAGTACTACCTCAAAATATCAAGAGGTTTCCATAGTCTCAGGGGTAAATGGGTGCCTTAAACACAAGCACGACATTAGTTTTGAGCGCTAGCGCAAATTAGCGCCACCACCTTTTTTGGAATGTTATATACGGGAGTTATTTGACATCCGCGCTATGAATATGAAACACAGTGTTTGGGAGTAACCCCTATAGACAGAATTTTAACGAAGAAAGTTTTTTTGGGGTAGTGATAGGTCAATAGTGCCGAAACTAGTGTTTGCACAGCTACACAAACCTCCAATTCCATTTACCATCATTGATAAAATTGTGTTCCATTTTGGTGATGGTACGATTATTCACGATGCGATTTGTGTGAGCTGAGCTCTGTCACGAGACTGCTTGCTCACACGTACGGCTATTCCGCGGATCATGACTGTATTAGGTTGGCGGGAAAGTTCTGTCACATTTTTTCAAACTAGGCTTTCTTTTTATAGAGGAGTGTAAGATCAAAATTGTACAGCAATGTTACTGCGGGGTCCTTGCCAGTGTTTGAGCACCTCATGGATGCCATCGCTTCACTATGCAGGGAGACACGATGCAAAGTTGGGCACATCTCAACTTCGACTTGAACTTGGGTTATGGAGGTTTTCTCGTCCGCATAACGATACGATTACGGAAGGCAACTTGCTATTAGAAGGGGCGACGTCTGTGCTACACAATTGCAAGGGGAGAGATCAAGCTCCATTGTCATGAGACACTCGAATTTTTATGTACGTTGCACTATCTTGGTGAGGGCCGGCTGTGCGGACAAATTTTTCCCTCTGATCCACGATACGCCTTAGATCTCGTAGCTGCTTTGCGTACGCCTTGACCAAGGGAGCAGCTTCTTCATTCAGCAGTTCCCGACCCATAGCTTCCTCAAGCTGAACTTGCAGGTAACCCAAACCTCACTTCGTCATCAAAACTGTAGGCTCCCTAGGCTCCCGCCTTGAAGCGTCACTGTCGTGGTAAGGTTGCTCGATGATTGGGGGCATCGTGCTTATTCAGCTCCATCAATTTGGCATCTGCAGCTAACACGCTGGCGAAGGATGGTGGTGAAATGAGTTTGTGGAAATTGTTGGATGGGTCGGGGCTGGCAGAAGAAGGAGCAAGAGGCAAGCGAGTAGTACTAACAGAGAGACCACTCCTTGTTGTATAAAAGCTTACATTAATAATAACGGTGCTAATGGGGCGCAAGTAATTTTGTGTTCGAGAAAAAGTGACATTCCCCTTACAATAATGTTTACTGTTAGGACGCCAGCAGCGTGCGCTATGAGGCCAGGGCCGGAGGCATTTGAAGCCAATCAAGCGCGCTACGGCAGGCAGACAGCAGTGACATTAAGGGTCTGAACATCGTCAACTCCGCCGATCCGTATATAGGTCCTGCCACGTTTCTTGTGCATCCTGTTTTCTGTTTCCGGCAAATAAAGATGGTCATCAATACGTGCCGCAATCTTCCTCTTTTTCCTAGCGTTCTTGTCCAACGTTTGTCGGGTACGCTTTTTTCACCAAGGCTTTCCAATGATCCCTGTTCCAGACGTCGGCTGCGGACAGACCAGCAGCATTCATGTCCCTCTTCAGGTTGTCTATCCATCGCAATCTAGGTCGGCTATTTGGACGTTTGCCGGCGAAAACGATCCTGTCAGCAGACTTGCATATGGCAACAGAGGTCTTCGTTGAACATGACCATACCAGCGCAGACATGCGGCAAGGGAGTTGGCAATCGGCTGGACTTTGATCCTACCACGAATGGTTTCATTTCGAATGCGTTCGAGCCATGTGGGTCAAAAGCTCCATCGCAGCATTTTCATCTCCATGACATCAATATCAATACGTGCTGCAATAACAACTGAAAAGAGTTGAATTCCGAGCTATTATAATTCTCAAGGGTTTTATATCCTGGTGAGGGGGGGGGGGTGGCACTCTCCCAGCTGAGCCACGTCATGTCTGTTGTTGTGCACCCTCGCAAACATAGCGTGATATGTTCTAACATGTCCTGGCCAACACATGACATGTCACCGTCTCCTGCATCCCCTTATCCTAAGTGCATGACGAAGCCATGTCGCGCAAGTACATCCCACCCTAAGATTGCACCTTTACTGTTTAGGCCACTTTCATACTTCCCGAACCGCGTGATTGTGGCCGACCGTGCTCTTCTGCAAATTATGTTGAATCTATGTAACCCCTAATGCAATCATGCTCAGGAAAGTCCTTCTTTTGATCATTCCAGCTGTCCATCGGGTGAAGCGCAGTCGGCCACAGTTGTGTATAAAGTCGGAAAGTATGAACGCCTTATCGGGCGACTGCTTGCACTTTCCTGCATAACCAGCTGAGAAACTCTGCAACGCAGATAGATCGAGGACAGTGGCTGGCAAGCCATGGAGAGATGCACAAAGACAAGTGCGGCCAACCAGGCCATGGAATTTTCCAAGGGAAGCGACGAAATGAACGAACCAGATATCTGAGTGGGAAGCTGGAAGGCGTGAGGTCATAGTGGCCCTGAAAGGCTGCGGCGACGAGAGAGAGTGCAGAGGAGAACAGCAGACCGACAGATCGGAACAGACCGATTAAAGAAATCGAGTCGGATTGAGGAATTGTCCCTAGACGTCAACTCGAATGTAGGTCAACTAACACGTGCGTGGATACGTGAAGACTCGTCTTCTTCGCGCTGCGTCACGTGCGCAGCCGCCATCGCCGCACAGCCGTGGAACTAATGTCCTGACCCGTAGAGGTCAATACCACCATGCGTACACTGTATCAGGAGAACGATTTCTCGAATGCGTTCTTAGAGTGTGCGCGTAGTAGTGGCCTTAAAAATGGTAGTTTCCGCCAATGGAATGTTTCGCTGTTTGCATTCGAAATCTAGTGACACTCAACCAACGACTATGAAGCCTCACAAGGTCGAGTAATTTGGAAGGAGCAAAAATTTTGTTACCGCTGTCGCGAGCGGCACTGGAACCGCAATTACGACCGATATCACAATGCGATACATGTATACTGTACGTAGTAGGTTCTCAGAACCTTAGTATGTTGTGGGAGACGGGCAAGAGAATCGTAAATTGTCGCTTCGTCGCGCGGCAATGGGCGCGACGTCCCCTTGATTTGCACTACCTTTCGACTTGGAGCATCGGATTTCATGTAGACAAGGACATGGTAGACACTTATGTCTATTTTTGGTCATACATTGTCTATTCTCGACCAATACCACCTAAAATCGTCGTCATTAGCGGGCGCGACGTCGCACGCGACGCCCACTGGCGCGGCGAATTACGATTCTCTTGTCACATACCTGTATATTGTAACTGTAATGTTGAGCTGATATAAAATTAATGTCGAGTTACCTTTGCGCGCTTTTCCTCAGGACTTCGTAAAGGAGTTTATTAGGTAGTCTGAAAAAGTTCTGCAACGTATTTGGAAAATGAGTTTTCCAACGGGGTGATCGTCTCAGTGCTGTGGAACGGTGTCAGGGGGCATGGAGTGGGCCCACCCGTGGTTACATTTTCTGACAACAATTCAGATTCAGATAATAAACAAAAGGTGGCAGAAAACGCCGCGGACAGGTTCATTCTATGCCACTTGACACCGCCCCGACGGATTGCTACGATATCGACTCTAACTTGACGTTATCTCAAGCTGGTGGTTATCTGCTACTGGTCCTCAAAGCCTGATTACTGTCTCTGAAATTTCAGTAGCAAAATGGGTCTCTTAAAGTCTTTATTAAATTGTAACATGCAGATTTTTATTAAACTATGTGCAGCCTAGTCACTAGCGATCGAATCAATGAAATTCAAAGGAATGACGCTGTGCCGATAAGAAAACAATGATGAATACAATTGTGAATCACAGGAGACATCGAGCAGAGCGTGTGGGACAGAAATGATATGCCTAAACTTGGATGACACTCGGATTCACATTTGTGACGACGGTTCGATTTTGTTAACAAGTTCATCGAGCAGTGAATGAAGATGAGCTTCAGAACGGACCCAAGGCACATTCGACGATTCCCCCACGTTCGACGATTCCCCC